GTCATGCTTTGGGTAGCAGTTGTAGAAATCCTGTGGGACACTTACAGTAAAGGTGTGTAACGGGTACCAGATCAGCTGCTAATGGATGAAAGTGCACAGTCAGGCATCTCATCTACAAATTAGTCACAACCTATCAGAACATCTCATGCCCATGTCAGGTGATGTTTGGTCTTCACACCTGTAGCTATGAGTGTTTCACGTCCCAGACATGCAAACTCCATTAAAACAAGTCTCCAGTCATGAAGAGAAAGAAGGGGAGGGGCAAGGTACTAAGCGTCTTGCCACTGCTGCCATGAAAACTGGCATCCCATGCACTGACACCAGCACATTCAAGTCAATAAAGGGGACACTGACTACCATGAGTGAAGACCTCACTTCCAGCCAGCAAAATTCAACAACCACTTTCCCCCTGCTGACATGACTGGTTATAGATGTGGTTTAGCACATAGTCCACTCCCATATATCAAGTAGACACGATTTCAAACCATCCTGTCTTCCTTGTTCTGCCACTAAGCAGTGTGCGTCCCTAGATTGGGGTGAGCCGATGAGAGAAAGAGTGATAGCTGACAAGGTGCCGCTCCCTGATACTGTCGGCTTCTCTGGCTGTGGAATCTAATTAGAACGCCGCCAGGATAGGGCTGGGCAGTTGAACCATGGCTGGAAGAGGAAAAGAGGGAAATCCAGAGGAATCCTCCCCCAACCAGGAGCTGCACTGTTGGCCTCGGAGAAGAGTGGTTGCCCCAGTGTTGAAAAAAGCGTAGCTCCGTCAGTCAAGCATGGCGAAATTGATCCGATTGATACGGTGTTCTCCTTTGCACAACCTGGGTGCAAATTAAAACGTGTGACTTACATGTATGCGTCTGCAGGGTTCAGCGATCCCGATTCTGAGATTGAAAGCATACGTGTCGCTGTATATGTGATGTGCTTCAAGAGGCCTGCAGGGGAGAGAGGAAGCCAGGGGCTCCAGTAATAGCAGGCTACATGTGTCCTCTTCTCAGTTGCTGGGTAGCTCCTCTGCTCTAACTGGTAGGCACCAGCGGAAAAAAGAGCTTCATCTACAGTCTGCTGCAGCTTCACTGAATACGCTGCTGCTGCTTTAGCTCCCTCCTCCTCCCTCTCTTCCTCCTCCTCGCTCTTTCTCTCCTCCTATCCACGTGCTCATCCCTCCCTCCCTCCCTGCTCTGATGCCTGGTGAGCTCAGAGCTCAACACACATGCACATATGCACACCAATCAAAGAGCCTTCAATTGGTTGGCAGCCTGTGTTCCGCCACTAAGCAGTGTATGTCCCTAAATTGGGGTGAGCCGATGAGAGGAAAAAGTGATAACTGACAAGGTGCCGCTCCCTGATACTGTCTGTTTCTCTGGCTATGGAATCTAATTAGAACGCCGCCAGGATAGGGCTGGGCTGGGCAGTTGAACCACGGCTGGAAGAGGAAAAGAGGGAAATCCAGAGGAATCCTCCCCCAACCTGGAGCTGCACTGCTGGCCTCGGAGAAGAGTGGTTGCCCCAGTATTGAAAAAAGCGTAGCTCCATCAGTCAAGCATGGCGAAATTGATCCGATTGATATGGTGCTCTCCTTTGCACAACCTGGGTACAAATTAAAATGTGCGACTTACATGTGTGTGCCTGCAGGGTTCAGCGATCCCGATTCTGAGATTGAAAGCATATGTGTCGCTGTATATGTGGTGTGCTTCAAGAGGCCTGCAGGGGAGAGAGGAAGCCAGGGGCTCCAGTAATAGCAGGTTGCATGTGTCCTCTTCTCAGTTGCTGGGTAGCTCCTCTGCTCTCACTGGTAGGCACCAGCGGAAAAAAGAGCTTAATCTCTAGTCTGCTGCAGCCTCACAGAATACGCTGCTGCTGCTTTAGATTCCTCCTCCTCCCTCTCTCCCTCCTCCTCACTCTTTCTCTCCTCCTATCCACGTGCTCATCCCTCCCTCCCTCCCTGCTCTGATGCCTGGTGAGCTCAGAGCTCAACACACATGCACATATGCACACCAATCAAAGAGCCTTCAATTGGTTGGCAGCCTGAGACTGCAAGAAAAGAATGAAACTGAAATAAATGTTGCCCCTTAACATACATGTTATTTCACAGCTGACATTATTGCCTCTCCTCTCCTACACATATATATATATATATATATATTAACACACCAACCAAATCTGCTTAATCTGTGCGGGGAAATCTATCCCCCTCACACGAAATTCCCGATTGCATGGATCCCTACTGAAATTACTGGATTTTGTCAGCGGAAATTCGGCAAATAGCAGTATATGTGACCATACTTTGTAGACATGAAGGTGAAGATATCCCTTTTCTATAGACACTGCTACACAAAATACAGCACTGTGATGGTATTTAGTCATGTGATCAGAAGCAGCATACACGAGCAGGATTGCAAAGGATGATGAATTAACAGGCCTTATTAGAACTGTGATACCATCATTATCAGCCAGCTGAGCCCACTATTTTTTATTTATTTTTTATCAGCCTAATTGTCATGCATCCAGAGTCTCCTGCACTGTAACTGAGATGGTGTAAATTTCTGTTTACTGACAGAGACCGGCACACATTTATCAGCTTTATCCTGCAGATAGAGAGCATAAGATTTCAGTACACTACAATCTTTGCCAAACGACCCAGCTGGCCAGACAACCACACCTTTTATGTGACTAACATATTAGCCAATCAGATCAGTTCTTTTTTCGAGACAGCTGGCGCAAATTCAGCCTAGGCTAATACACTGAAGCCTGATTGGTATTTTCCCACAGGATCCTAAACTTAGACAAAAATATATGAGGATATACAAAACACAACTTCGAAAGGCTGCTGTTAGCCTAAATAACAGCGGTGGTTTCAAAACAGAGGGAAGTGTCCCAGATTGAGTGTGGGGGAGGTTGGATAGCTAGTCTCTCTTGGCTGTCTGAAGTGAATGTACAGTATGCATCAAAATGGCGCTTACAGGAGTGGTTTCGAATGCTTCTATTGACAAACAGCAACTCCTAATGGCTTCTAATGTGCCTCTGCTGAAATGATTAAATTGGATGTTTCTGTAAATGAGTCTTGCTATGTTATATTGTGCTTTAGTAATTTTGGCTGCAAGACATTACAGATCATGCCATGTTACTGTACACCTTTGGAAGTGGACCAACTTGAACTTAGTTTACAATGACAAGAGTAAACTTGTTCATCACAAAAATAACATTATGCGTTTCTATAGTGGTCTACCATCCAGCCTTTTATTCCTCCCTCCAATATATTTTTGGTTGACAGAAAATAACAAAGCTAATGTTGAAATGTTTAACCAAATCAAATTCTCCATACTGTCTTAGTGTCAGTGGCATGCTCTGCTTTGTGGACTGTTGTCTCATTTCCATTGTTTCATAATTAAGCAATGTTAAGTATCGCAATTAAGTATGCAAGTTTTAAAAGTCCCATTCCTTGTTTTTTTTTTATTGCCTCTGTTCATCCCTGTGCACAATTATTAAAATGTTTTAGTTTTGTCCCAGAGACACATAAGTAGTTTACAAGTACTTATTTGTGTGCCAGTGGCCTGCTCTGTTCTGATCCAATTACTGCAATTTGTCTAGATAATTGATAGTTTGTTTCAAATCTCTGCTCTTTAGTTATTGTTAGAATATATTGGACGTAAAAATATCAGATTCAAGCACTGTGGAGGAAAAAAAAAACACATAAGTGGTTGCATTTCTAATTCTAAAATCTGTCTAAATCTATATGTAAATATATATATATATTTTTTTTTTGCTATTTCATGAGGCCTACGCTTCCTCCACTCTTTTCTGCTGAATCATGCTGATTGAAGAATGCTTTGGGGTTATACTAAAACACAATCACCTTGGCAACCAGCTGCATGTCACCTTGTGATGTCACCGCTCTGTTGATAATAACAGTGTCCTCTGCTGGACGATCCTGGGAAGTGCAGCTAGTATGCAGTACATGATAACTATATATTTTAAATAACATTTAATAGAACATTTTTAAATGATCAGCAGAGATTCAATTATCATAACAGTTTTATTATTTTTGGTAAGAGCTAGTCTTTATTAAATTAGCATTGTGGCCTTTTCTCATAGCTGATGGGTGACTAATGTTATGTTCAGAATGAAATAGGCTACAACTTCACAACTGTATACTGCACATAGCATGCAATTTTTCGTATGCATGATATACTATGCATACTATGAAGACTACAATCAGAGAATATAGTACTGCATACAATGCATTTCACAAGAATGAATGGAAACAGTAACTAACTACAGTGATTTGAATATATCTTTCTTGAGTCATTATTTGATCAGACTGCCCCAAATTTTAAGCTTTCTACACAAATTTGCATCAAAAATTACGTTAACTGGTCATTTGATTATTTTAGTACGTTATTAATATGGTTTGCACAATCTGCACTAGTATTCCATTATAGAGCAAGGGCGAAATTATCTTTTTATTGCTTCGGATTCCCTCTATAAATGGGACATTTCAATTCTACCAGCAGCGCAGTATCCATCCAACAGACCTTACTTCTCTAGTTTGACCCATAAGTATACTGTAGAAAACTGAAGGCCATTTCACAAATGTGCTCTACAGGGCCAATTTCTGAAGACTATTGTTTCTTTATCAGCATGCAGGCTGGCAGTGCCTGTCTAGAATTGTCTGCAACCTCTGTCCATTCTGCAAAACAGGCAGACTGCCGGGCCTTTTATATTGAAGCACCATACAGTATAAACCGTTCCCTAAGCATATTCAAAGTCTGAGTTTAGGATTGTACTCTATCCATCACATTCTCCTCATGAACCATTCCCTCTTGAGTTCTCTTATTCTTGCCATGGGCAAATCCCTGTTGCTCAAACTGACAGCTGCGGACATGAGAGGCTGGTAAACAGCTGCTATTAGCATTAAGCAGAGTCAGCTCTAACTGTGGCATGCTGTGTTGAACCCTACAGATTCAAGTAGGACACAGCTGTGACTAAGGTGAACTTACCTGGAAGTGAAGGATGATGGTCCAGATCAGTCCCAGTGTCAGCTTTGGGTTCCCATCTGTGATGTCATCATTGCGTATATTCACTAATTTGACCTGCATTAAAGTAACAGAAGACTCTCATTAGTGGGAAATATCTGAATGAGTTAAAAGGTATAATTTGGTGTAAACAGTCTGATTGACCCCAAAAACACTATAGGCGCGTTTCCATTACAGATTTGCGCAAAACTTTGGCGGTTTTTTGCTATATATGGGAGTTTTTGCGAAATTGACGCGTTTCCATTAGGCGTATTTTCAATTCGCAATTTCAATTTGCGCAATTTGAAGGGTAATGGAAACGCGCCTTGTAACATTACTTGAATCTGCTAAAAATGCCTAGGGGACTAAACAAATGAAAACTGGCAATGTAATGTAATTTCAGGACAGCTTTGTCGTTTGTTGTCCTCTTACGCTTACAGCTGTCAGAAGCTATGTACTGTGTACTGGGAGAGGGGTGCAGGTTGGCATTTTGTCTGGTTTAGGGACCCTGGGCTGGGGTGACAACAGAGAGGGGATTGGACAGACTTCTATGGGGCAGAACACATCTATCAACTCCAGGTCATGTTATCTCAGAGCCATGCTGCCAACTGAAGCACAATGAGACTAAGGACACAGAAGTCCCAAGCTATCATCTTGTATTCACTTCCCCTAAATGTGCATGACATTAGTCCATTAGTGAGGGTAACCAGCCTCAACACTAAAGGGGACACGTCCTCCCCAGTATTCAGAATAATATTTTAGCCCCAGAATCTTATTTTAGCCTACCCAATCTTGAATATTTGGTTACGTCCTTGCATTTATAAATAAAGAGCTGACAATCTGTAAAAAGCGACTTGTGATTGTTTCTGAGAGTGAGAATGCGTAAGTGTAGACATTCATACCTGTCTCTGCTTAAGGAAGTCTAAGGCGATCTGCACATTCTGGAGTCGGTGAAATCGCATGCGACCCTTTTCCCTGGGCTATTGAAGACAGGAAGAGAGTGAGAGAGAAACAGAGAGAATGCAGATGAGTGCACTGATAATCAGGGCAAATTGGAGGTGTGAAAACAGGACTGTTTCATTAGCACAAGCCTGAAAGCAGCAAAAGCAGCACACTGCAAAATAACACAAGACCCTCTCAGGATCATCAGTAATTAATAATCCTGTCTCAGAGTCACAGGGAATTGTTAGCATACTGTGAAAATGTCACCATTAGCAAACCATTCAAACAGCAAATCTAAATAATTATTGTATTTTTATCTCACACACTCTGCCTTGCCTGCTAACATCTCTCTGCTAGTGGGTGACCAATAGCAATATCTAGCATGCAGGGCAGTAGATGGCCGATATAATACCAATATACACTACCATCCAAAAGTCTAGGGTTGGTAAGACTTGTAATGTTTTTGAAATTGAACAAAGTATTTTATGCTCAGTTAGGTTGCATTTGTTAACAAACAAACACAGTAAAAACAGTAATATTATTAAAATAACCGTTTTCTATATATTTTAAAGGGGTCATATGATGCTATTTTAAAGATCATTATTTGGTGTATTTGGTGTCACAGAATATGTTGACATGCTTTAATGTTCAAAAAACACATTATTTTTCAAATACTGTACATTATTGTGTAAGATTCTGATTTGGTGCTTCTTATTATTATCAATGTTGAAAACATTTGTGCTGCTTCATATTTTTGTGGAATAGATAGTTCAAAAGAACAGAATTTATTTGAAATAGACATTTTCTGTAAATTTATTTAGTGTTACTTTTATTCAATTTAATTTGTTGTTGCTGAATAAAATAATTGATTTAAAAAATCTTACTGACCACAAACCTTTGAACTGTAAGCTGTATATTACAATTTTACAATATTACAATAAGATGTACCAAAATTTCCTTCTGTTTGAAAACAGAAAATATCTATTGACAAGGCTGAAAGGTCAAATCTATTGGCTAATTTTATTTATCAGCCAGGCATGGCCAATAATCTAAATAGCCAAATATCATCCAATTGACTGGCCTGTCCAATATATCGGTCTATCACTACTCTCTACTGAGGTCACGTAGCAGACTCGCACACCCTTACATGCAAAGCATGCTCACTATCACCCGCAAATGCAGCAGCGTGTACAGCAAACCTGCAAACAGGTGACCAGAAAACCCCCACAATAGGGCAAACGTGTCAAAGTCATCAGATTCAATGTGAGAATGTGACGTGAGCGTTGGCAGTACTGAAGTGAAGTGTATATAAAATGTGTACACAAAGCGAGGTCTCTCACACACCTAAATGTAATAAATCAAATTATGTCTGGCATCATGAATTATGCATCGGCGTATTAGACATTGCCCTCCGCATATTCACGAAATTGACCTGTCCTTGGAGTCCACGCCATGCAGTGTACACAGCTGACTGTGTGTGACTGTGTTTGTTTCAATAGGGGGAGGGGTCACACATACTCCCTGAGCTCCATCCTCCTCATCCTCCCCACCCAGCAGGATGAGTGGGGGTGCACGTGACACAGACGTTCTCCGCAGAGTTGACGTGCCCTTGTGCTGATGACATCATCATAGAGAGGGTCACAGGAAAAGGATGAAGACAAAAACAGTGTTGAAGGGCTGATATATGTACAAAACAACAGTTAAAAAAATATTAAAACGAGAGGGAGAGAGTGAAGCTAAACAAAAACAACAAATAAAAAGTGCAAAATCCAAAATATATATATAAAAAAAACATAAAAAGATGGTGAAAGAATGGAACGGAGACGGAGAGATAGAGCAATTGTAGAGGGCAGGTGGTGTGTCAGCAGTCTGTCTCTGTTAATCCACCCGTCAGTCAGTCTGCCCCAGTGCATCATGGTCCCCAGCCATCAGAGTGGGCAAGATTGAGTGCAGAAATAATGTACTAATGCAGATGTCATTACAACACATTGCCGTACATATCAGACTCCGCTATTTCTCTGCTGCAAGGCCTGTATCTGCATTTGGCAACATCAGCCACAAGCCAGGACACTTAATGACATCAGCCTAAACCCCAGGTCAACTCATGTGACATGATACCCAGGCACCATGTGGCTCTGAATTGCATTATGGAAAATAAAGAAAATCTCTGCCCCATGAATTGCCCAGGAGAATTGCGTAAAGCATTGGAATCAAATTTGTGTACAACCTTATGCATAACCTGTGTGTGTTAAGGTAATGGTAGTTAATTTCTCACCAATGTGACGCCAGACAGCACCTCAAGCAGGGAAATGAGGTTATGCCCATCCCTTAGATCCTCATACAGGTCTGTGATGTGCTTCCGCACCTGGAGAGAAAGAGAGAGAAATACAGTTAGAGTGAGATAGTTGAATTCCTTACAGTCTTTAGAGGCCTATGTGTAAGCGTTTGTATTATATGCAATGGTGTAACGTTTTCAATAGGGTTTGTGCTAGAATTACCATGTTTGGTAACAGGCTGACTTTATACATCAAACTGTATTTAAAGGACAATTAGCAAACACATTTTTTTTTGGTTGGTTGCGACCCATTAACAAAAGCTGTTTGGATAAAATAGTAAATTAGTTTCGTAGAGAGACAACTGCAGTACACTAACTCTAACCAGCAGAGGACGCCAAACTCATTGAGATGGGCCAGTAAAATAGCAACAAGAAAAGTTCTGTACTTAAGTGCGTGTGTGTGTGTGTGTTTGTGGATTCAGAGATCCTAAACTGTACACAGAAGATCCAACACAGCTGCCTCCCCATAGTGCCACAGAAGAACCATCTGCTGAGTATAAAAGAACATCCTGACAACTGTGACTCTCACTATCCTCTCCATTCCCTCCCTTTATTTCACTCAATTCAGAAAAAAAAAAAAACACTATATATGATATACTGCTCAAATGTATGGGGCCAGTACTACTTTTATTTTTTAAAGAAATTAATAATTTTATTCAGCAAGAATGCATTAAATCGATCAAAAGTGACAGTAAAGACATTTAAAATGTTACAAAAATATTTATATTTCAAATAAATGCATAAATTAAATCAATTACATTTTAAAATATATTATATACATTATATTTTTTTTCAACATATTACATTTTTCCATTACTAATTATATTAATTTGAGTGAAAAGCTAAACTAAAAAAATTAATGAGAATTTGAAGCTAGCAGTGTTTGTGTAAAAACTGAATCATGTCTTCCAGCATGATTTGAGAAGATTCAAAGAGCATCTTGTACTTCAGTGCAAACAAGAACATCTGTCAGTCTGTATCAGTCAGTATATCAGTGTGTATCTGATCACATGATTAATGTCACTAATATTGTTATGCTCATATTTGTGTTCCCACACTCCCTGAACACAACCTAATAATTTCTTTCCACCTCTGTCTCTCTCATGTCATTTCAGTGTTTATCACAGGTGCATTACCAGGGAATGCCCTGTTGCCATTGACAGAGAGAATAACAAACTATACTTGGGCACTGGAGTAATACCCTAGTGGTGGAGTATTACATAATAATAAAATGTGTCACACTCAAATGCTTCCTCCCTCTGTAGTCAGCAGTCATTCCTGTAGACAGGTACATTGTGCAACCCCTCTTAAACCGGTTTAACTTTTTTGCAGTGCTTATGTTAGGAGTGTGTAAAGGACAAACAAACAGATGTGACACAATCTACAACACACTGCTTTCAGTCAGTGTAACATTGCCTGAGGGGAACAACATACCTGTTCACCTGCCAGAAATGTAGAGAGATGTGTAAACACAACACTAACAGGTATCATCACCTACTGCCGTCTGCCATTAGAGTCTGTCGTCTCTAATACAATATAAAGAGGTCCCAAAAGGGTCACAGAGGTCTAGTATATATAACTCACTACTTGTAGAGTCTAACATTAGAGCAGCACTGTGCAAACCTCATTTCCTGTGATCTGACCTACATTACAGCATACTGGCAGAGTTATGAGGCCACTATCTCTAACCTAATAACTCTGGCCCTTCTGCAGTTGGTCATCTGCCCTGCCCTTGAAATACCCAACATTCTTTGCTCTCATGATCTGTAGTCAGTGGGGCAGGAGTTATAGAGGATTACCAGACTCACAAATATAGTTCTGCAACATGACAACATGCTGAACGTCTTTTCAGATTCATATGGACAAAACACTGGGGAGACACCTTTGTCATTGTGTTATTATTAAACGAATAACAGTGCCTGTACAATCGTTGACTTGCAGGACCTGCTGCAAGTGTCCTAATATTAAAGAGATCAGTCCCTGAGTCTTATGTGTGAGTGTGAACGTGTGAGCGTGCCGTGTGTTCAGCAGGACTGAAGCCCAGTGGCCAGCAGGCCTCATCATTGTGCAGTGCAGCAGAAAAGACGAAAATAACCCGGCGTGCTGGACTGTACCTTTATGAGATGTTTATTGACCCATTTTGTGAAAGTTTTCTTCTGCACCCTGTCTCGTTCATCTGTGAAAAAAGAGATAGAAGAGGAAACAGCAGAAAAAGAGAGAGAGGAAGAGGCGAGAAGGGGGGAGGAAGAGAGATTGGGTTAATTATGTAACACATGAGAGGACTAAGCATCATGCTGTGTATTATTTACAAGCTTCCCTCCAGTCTTGCTTTAAAAAGCCTGAATTCAAACACAGACCATAAAATGCAAAATCATGTATTTTAATGAACAATACATTAATAGAAATAATACATTTTACCTGTGGTGACATGATTTAATAGAAAGCCATATTGTAAATACACTACCATTCAAATGTTTGGGTCCGTAAGATTTATTTTATTTTATTATTTTATTGTGTTTATTGAATTATATTTAATTTATTTTTTTAAGAGATATAAATTTATAAAAAGTGATAGTATTTCAAATAAATGCTCCTTTTTTAAAATAAACTTTTAAACTTTTCAACATTGATAACAATAAGAATGTTTAATAGTAAGAATTGATAATAATGTTTCTTCACCATCAAATCAGCATATTAGAATGATTTCTGAATGATCATGTGACACTGAAGACTGGAGTAATTCATAGCTTTCAGTTACGTGACCGGCTCGAAGACCTGGAGGGCAAAACATCCATAGAACTGCAGGACAAGCCTGTCAATTTTCCATCTGTTTCACAGCCGCAAATATTTAGATCACCTTTCAAAAGAATAAAACAAAGGTATGTGAACAAAATGCAAGTTTTGGCCATTTGCAATCCATATTAAGCACCCGCGGCAATATTTCAATCATTAAACAGTGCGACAAAACGTTGTAAAAACACTTAAAGTGCCTTAATATATTTAAAACAGTAATATTCTCTATATTAATGATGCATAGTTTACATATGAACGGAATATGAACGCAATCTGCTTAATGGTTCAGTGTTTTCCTTCTAATGACTTTCTATGGGAAACCATTTAACGTGAAACTTTGCACATTGCGTTTATATTCTGGCTTCATCTGCTTGCCTGTACAAAATATACATAATCAATAAGGTGTTTACTGAATTTCGCTTTTTAATATCTGCGTTTAACTACATTACTAAATGCAAACTGCGTAAAAATAACTGGCGGTCAGTGGAGCAAAGCTTCGTTTTGCCCTCCAGGTGGGCGTTCCTATAAGCGTGTGACGTCACGTGAAAACTATCAACAGCTGCTGAAAATTCAGCTTTGCCATCACAAAAATAAATGTACATTTTAAAATATTAAAATAGAAAACAGTTATTTTAAATTGTTACAACATTTCATAATATGCAGTTTTTACTGTATTTTTGATTAAATAAATAAGCCTTGGTGAGCATAAGAGACTTTCAAAAGCATTTAAATATTTTACCGACTCCAAACTTGAACAGCAGTGTGTGTGTGTGTGTGTGTGTGGTTATTTTCACTGAAAGAACACACCAGTTTAAAATACAATGACATGCTAATTTTTTCCTGGTAAGACATTTTTAAAACATCCATGATATTTTTTTTTTGTATAAAGCCTTTTAGAAAGTCATATTAAATCCACAAATTAAAAAATAAAATTGACAGGCAAAACAGGTTATAGCAATACATCAGTAGCTACATTAGCAGAGGTTTGGTAAAAATTTAAATTAGGCTGAAAGTTTAAAAAAAGACCAGTTAATAGGTTCATTACCATTATACCTGACCTACATTCTCCACAACTTACTATAACATGTAGGAGGCTGTCAAAGTCACACATGAATACATGCTCAGAACACCATGACAAAAGCATGTTCAGCTTGATGTTGCATCATACCACACTGTATGTACCCAGAAATGCACAAACATCTTGAATGTTATTTAATTCAGTACAATTAGTAGGGATCAAAAGTTGACATATTACAGTCCTGAACTGACACCTGATGCCGCGGATGTTGGTATGATCTAAAAACACTGCAAACAAGGAATTATGGGCAGGAAGTTTTGAATTGAGACATGAACTTCGGGTCTGTAAGTCATTCTGTTTTGTCTGTTATTCTGAACATGCCAGACTAGAGACGCAACCAAGCACAGAATACAAACTGATCACACAAGCCTGCTGTTCTATGAGTTTATTACACTCCTGCTTTATCTGCCTCTTTCTTTTGGCCTCTTACTGTGAGGCTACAGTTGATGTGGTTGCTATGGTGACAAAGCAATACTAAGCAACCGTGTGGTGCAGACGGCCCACTTCAGCACACACAGAACATCCCACTCTCAAATTCACAATATATATGCACGTATAAATTATATATATGATTAAAACAAAAAGTTACATGTTATTTTAATGTTATCTTCCTAAATGAAAAAAAAAATGGAATAACAACATATAAGTTCTCTACTAGCGTGGGAATTCAGTCTGACTTTTGAACATAAGTTGATAGTTTAATGAGTACAGCAAACACCTTTTCAGCTTTTCACATACCTCACACACCCACTTTTGCATTGTGGATCTGATTCATGCACACCCACCCACACACACACACACACTATTGCAAAAGAAATATGTGTGTCAAGTTATTTCTCAGAATGACTTATTCCCTTTTATCCACATGTCTGTAACTGTCACAGAGGCACATTCTCTTGTTCCTCAGTACAATGAGTCATTGTGTTGGTTCACACACCATACACTGTGCAAAAACTCACACCGTCATGCTCACGCTCATCCACGTGGGATCGCACACTGATATAGCGTCACAACAATAGTGGACGAACATATATCATCAAACAACACATCCGCTGACACACAAATCACAGCGTCCATGTGACTAGGTGACGACACGCACACAGGAACACAAATAGAAACTGACCTGCGCAGCACATGAGTGCGTGCAGATGAGCATTCAGGCTCCGTTCGGTGCAATATTCAGGCCACATGCTGGTGGTGACTTATTCCTTTTGGCTTCCAGAACGATCTACCTTCCCCTTCGTCTTCCTGTCATGTCTCGGAGTGTGGCGTTTCACACCTTTAGTCCAAACACACTCCAATCTCTCATTCAGAGTTGAAAATCAAATCCACACTCGAGGAAAAAAAGGCATAGATATTTTCACTTCCTCCTTTATATCTACAGCTCCCACATTCTACCTCCTCGTTCGCCGGTCTTCATGTTTGCTGCCATATCAAAGCTCAACTCAAACATGCAGCTTGGCTCACACGTGCATGTCAAACTCTACAAGAGCTCCTCCTTTACAACTAAATAAGGAGTGATGTTCCCCGACTCCCTCAAACCACTGCCACTCTCACTCTCTCAGAGGAGAGATGTGTTGTTAATGCAGTAATGAGTGCTGTCCTTTCCACCTCTTGCTTTCAAGCTCGCACAATCCGTGGTTGCTCAGTTTCCTGTGTTTGAATGAAGAACCTTTTGTGCAGCAATCCATCTTCAAGAGTCTCTTTGCAACAAAAAAATGAGCAAGTCTAGAAATGAGAGATTATCATGCTTCTCTGAACTGTTGTTGTGAACTTCATAACAGCATGGTGAGATGAGCGAGCGTCCCCCCAGGATGATGTCATCTGAACAGTTTAGTGACTGCCCTCTGACGTCACGCGAACGCCCGTCCTGAAGTGCCCACCTTACCTTTAGACTGGAACTAAGTCACGACAACAATGCAAGTTCTAAGGTCCATATCATAAAAAGTCTTGTGACGCAAGCTGGTCCAATCGAGCAATAAACAAGTGAATGACAAGATGTTACTTGTTCATGTCCTCTGCAGAGCTCTGCAGATCTGAATTGAGGAGAAAATGAAAGTGAAAGTGAAAATGAGTGAGCATAGGGGGGAAAAGGATGGAGAAAATCCTGGGGACTTTTAGGGATGAAGGAAAAAAAATGGACAAGTCTAGGGCTGCATGATAACAGTTGAATTAATAATCACCATTATTTTGCTGAAAAATGATAATCACAATTATTAATTCTTTTTCTTTTTAAATTTCATTAGAGTTATTGTACTTTCATGAAGCACAAATAAAGAAATCGTCAACTCAAGCGCAAGATTTATTTGATCTAATCTCAACATTATGAAAACTGGTAAGAAGCTTCTCTCAAAGCTAAAACAGTGAAATACCAAATATCATTTACAATAATTCCAAATTATGTTAATGGTTTTCTATTAAAACTTTGACTTTTTATTGTAGCACAGTATTGTAAAAAAGACTTTGTATTGTAGCACAGATGTATCGTAAATGCATTTATTCAGCAACCCCAATGCAAACAATGTAGTCGAGATTCACGTTTGGATATAACGCAAATATCGTAGACGATTATGCTTGAACAATCGAAAGAAACATAAATCATGACCACAATTATACATGCAGCCCTACTAGTCATGTAATTCAATCTCCATTTGTCACATTTTCCAGAAACGGGGTGATCACAAACATATGAGTCAGCAAAACAAGCAGTGAAGTAACGATCACGATGCTTGCATAAAAGCTGTGACCAAACCCAGAGCTGCAGCCAATCGGCAGGCAGAAGTGATCTGATATTTGATTCCACGGTGTCCCATTTAAACAGGTCTGTAAATCCCTGCAATGATGCTGGAGGCACGTAGGAAAGACCCTGATTATCCTTTGAGAGTGCAATGCACACCTGGCCCTTCACAAATGGTCACCCACAATGCCATTACAAGACAGCTTTTCTCATTCCTCTTTCCTAAAGGGATAGAAGGCATGTAATTTCCATTAGTGGTCCTTCCACTTATACCATCTTTGTCTCTTCCTCCGGCAGATTTTAAATGAACTCTCTATTTCTGTTTCCCATCGGAATTATTTTTTTTTTTTTTGGAGACACCGTTGTTCGGCTGCTCTCTCCTCCTGCAGCCCTCTGAACTATAAATACTAGACAGCTTACACTCCTAATGCCACACAGAGTGCTTATCCCTCTCGCTCTCTCTCCCGCCCCTCTTCTTCGTGGTTATCACGTCTAATCTCTCATCAGGTCCAGTTGGACAGAGCTCCCTCCTCCGTGTGCTCTCTTCTTCCTGTTTTGCCGTTTTCTG